GCCATCAAAAAACATTCCAGGCATTTTACGATGCTCTTGTTCAAAAATGGACTTTGCTCCCGACAGAGCTAATAAACGTTATAACTGGCATGAGCATTCTCTGTGCAGCATGCGTGAGTGCAGGAAAGGCTGCATGGAATAGCCAAAATCTTCAGATCTAAATTCCACAGAACGTGGGATGCTCTAGGAAGAAGAGTTACACCCATCAGCCAGCTGCCATCAAAAAACATTCCAGGCATTTTACGATGCTCTTGTTCAAAAATGGACTTTGCTCCCGACAGAGCTAATAAACGTTATAACTGGCATGAGCATTCTCTGTGCAGCATGCGTGAGTGCAGAAAATAATTGCACACCATATAAGCATTTTTGCACAACAAATTAATAACATACAAGTAGAACATTGTACTTTTTAAGTTTCATGCTGTTCTGATCAGTAGTTTGAGCTGTAGACAAAATTAATGGTTATGCTTATTACTTTCCCGGTACTGTTATATATAACAGAGGGAAAGTAAGACGATAGGTCAAAAAATGACCCCCCAAATATTTACATTTTTGGACTAGGAATCTCGAAATGTCGAGAAATGAAAAAAAAAATTAGAGTTTTTTCTGTATGTATGGATGTTAGTGTGTGGGGGCACGATTTTGTTCACCTCTTTAAAGCTTAACTCCTGTGCTTTTTATCGAAAATTTCAGAAATTATGCAGGGAGGTTTGATACTATTAAATTTTGGTGGTTAAAGGTTGAGGAGTGGGGAGATAATGGGGGGTCGTGTGATATCTCGAGTAGGGTTTGACTTAATGAAGATTTTACTCGTTATTAGCATTCAAAATTTTTTTATAAAACCCATTCATACCCTAAAAATTAAACTTTTTTGTCATTTTATAATAGTTAAAAATATAAGAAGTTTCTTTTAATAAAATTTGATATTAGATGGCGCTACTAAATATTGCCAGGAAAGTTAAGCGACTCGTTGCTTGATTTTTTTTTTTTTTTATATCTAGATAACATTATAAAAATAGCTAGGTCATTATAATTTAGGTAATTTGCATAGCTAGATTGTTCATAAATCAACTAAATGTAGCAAAAATTAGGTAAATTGGCAACACTAAGCTAACATGGCTAGCTGATCTACATGGGCGTGCGATTGTAGTGCCACTGCCGGTGTTGTGAATGATGATGAATATGGGGGGGAAGTCATCAAAATGTGACAAATATCGAATATTACGAATATAGAGGTTCCACTGTATCACAT